TACTACCAGCTCCAGAAAAGTACAACTTATCATAAATTTGTTTTCCAGTCCCTGTTGCCTCACTTTTTAATTATGGTTATGAGGAATTGCTTTAGTTTCAATATGACAACAAATTAAGAGATTCTTACATCTCTTTGAAGATACATACACACCTGGTATCTGTGGTTTAGCACAGGCTAAGAAGAGGCTCTAGAGCCTTGTTTATGTAGTAGAATTCCCTACTTGTGTTACCAGTGATTACTGGATATAGAAAAGAGCGGAACTTTGCATAAACAAAACTCTTTCAACCTCTTTACTCACAGCACATGTCTTTACCCTAAATTTTGCTAGCTGAGGCTTAAGCACATATGAAACAATTCAGTATTATCTGTATAAAGAGCTGTGGGAACTTCTAGAAAAGTCCCCAGAGTAGGTGAGGGAACTTCCTGTTCGCTATCCATATCGTACCTTCAACACATGCAAGGTTATTCTGGAACATTCTGATCTTCAAAATTGAGCAGAATGGCTGAATTCTTGGTAAATCAGTAATCTGCTTAGTTGTGATATAAATTATTTTTCATAATTGTTGAGGCTTTTTCATCGAATACTGAAATAAAGCATTTGGGTCAGAAGCTGTTACCATTTGCTTTACCTTCCTTCCTCTCACAACTTGGTATTGGAAAGACATTAAAGATAAATTTGGACTTTCTTTGCTATTAGTGTCCAGAGATTCACATTATTCATATAAATTGATCCTGTATTGATTTTTCTCGTCTTTCTTTCCAATCACAGGGCAGGTTTTCCATGTTCAGTAGCAGGCTTTCTCTTGCAAGTATCCTGAGGTGTGGTCTAGGTGTGTTCAGGTCTAGTTTAGTCATTCATCTGTCACCTTGTCATTAGCATGGCGTCTGTATTTAATTGGGCTTCCTTCCTTCCTTCATCAGAGATCAGTTTTTATAGACAATGAAAACTGCAGCCCATTATTAAAATTTAGCTCTAAGTGAGATCCTTGGCTCTTATTTATACAAGAAGCAGTGAAAATACTATCTCAAGTACTCTTTCAGGTGAGTGCTATGCATGAAGAACACATTATGTGAGTCCAGGATACTGCCTCAAAGCTTTCTATTTCTCAAGCTTTAGTTCATAAATCAACTTGTTTAAGAGGAGTTCTGTTTCAGTCTGTTGAGTTGCTTGATAGGTTGTAATCATCAACAGCTTTCACTGGTAGCATTTTTACCTCCCAGAAAATGTTGCTGAGTTACTGTTTGGGTTAGTATTTCAACTGTGCTTAGAAACAGCATTGAGATCAGCACTCTGCCTATTTTGTGTGTGGTAAGGGTTGGTCCTTCTCCAAAACTGCTTTCATTTTGAAAATGAAATTTTAATTGAAATGAAAATGAGATAAAATAGTATTCTAGTTTTAGAAATGGAGACATGAAATGCTCTGTTTGGGGGTCAGGTGCTCCTGGCAGACACCAAGTTGCCCATGAGCCTGCAGGAAACAGCGGCAACATCATCTGGAGCTGCGTTAAGAAGAGCATCGCCATCTGGTCAAGGCGAGTGATCCTTCCTCACTGCTCATCCCTGGTGTAGGTATCTGGTGTGAAGCATCCAGTGCTGGCGTCCCCAGTGTATGAAGGACATGGGCATTCTGATGGACTCCGGTAAAGTGCCACAAAGGTGACTGAGGGATTCCAATATCTGACATATGAGGAGATGCTGAGAAAGATGGAACTGTTTAGCCTAGAGAAGAAAAGGCTTGTGGGTATCTTACCAATGTGTATAAATACCTTATTTTTGATGGTAGAAGTAAAGAAAGAGGTAGCCTCTTCTTAGTGGCATCCAATGACGGAACAAGGGACACTGAACACAAATTAAATACAAGAAATTCCATTTAAATGTAGAGAATACCTATTTTAGTGTCAGTGTCATCAAACACTGAAACATGTTGTCCAGAGAGATTGTGGAGTCTTCATTGTTGCAGGAACATAAAACTCAGCAGACACTGTCCTGAGCAACTTGCTGTAGCTGACCCTGCTTTGAGCAAGTGGCTGGACTACATGATCTCCCGAGATATTTTCTTCAATGCTTCTGCCATTCTGCACACCCTAGCTTGCTCCAGCAGTTGCAGTACTTTATTGTAGTGAGTAGAGCTGGATACCGGGCTGTCTGATCTGACCCAGCTGAACTTGGCACATGATCAGAGGGGCCTGCTCCCCACGTCCCAGATCACAAGATAGTAAGCTGATCTAGACTTGCTCTCTTTAACACCCATGTTCCTAGGCTTCCGCCCCCTGTCCCCAGGCCATGCTTGTAACTGGGATCACCTACATGCAATTGTATCCCAGCTGCATTCCTTCCTTTCTGGGCACAGGGCCATGCAAGTGGCCCAGGAGTCGTTATCACAGTTCTCACTGCCGGTGGATTCCCCGTGTGGGAGCATATAGTCAGGCACATTTGCTAATGTAGCAAAACAAGAGTTTTAAGCCCTGCACCTATTACAATCATCACTGTCTTCACCTGGAGATAATCTCAAGCCCAGGCATGGAAATGCAGCAGGCAAGCAGGCTAGGTCACAAGAATTTAGATTGTCCCAGCACATCAAGTTCTGTCCTTTTGCCTCAGTGGCAGCAGTGCTATAGTTACCAGAAATTGTGTTCTAGATATCTTTCTGTAGTTGCTACTTCTGATGACTTTGTTGTTCACAAAACAGCAGATTTGGGCAACTGAGATGTGTGCGATTGTTTGCTATTAAGAAACAGTAGGTTCAGTTAGAGGAAAATCAGTTTCAATCTAAGTAGGGTGAACAGATAGTCATGCATAATAAAAAGTCACGTGTGAAACATATATTCAGCAAAGTTAGGTGTCCAGTAAAACTAGTTTCAACCCTGCTTGCACTACCTAATCTCTAAAATTATAATGTATGAGTCACAGCCCTTAGATGATCTTAACCTTTACTAGAGGATACCCTGCTTTGTGTTCAGCAGCATAAACAACTGAGCAAGGACGTGTGCAGACCTGGTGAATACAACAGGACCCTATTGACTGTACTGTAAGTAACACTTTTTTCTTGGGAAAAATTGTCAAACATTATATGGAGGACAACATTTCCTGAATAATCAGATGAGAAATTACTATGTTCATGTTCAAGTTGCAGTTTAAAGTTTTTTATATTGTTTTCTTATGGTTTTGTTTTATAAATAAAAAAATTCCTCTGTGAGACAGGCAAGTTTGTACAGCATAAATCTGTTTATGAAAACTGTATCTCTAAATGTTTTATAGAGTTAAATGAAGTAAATGGATGATAGTAATAAATGTAGGCATGAAATGAAATTAAATTAAATGGAAGTGGGGACTTACGGTTTGCTCTCTAAAGCTTCTAGAGAGTTAAAAAAAAAGAAACTGAATAGTTGTAAAAGGTAAAAGAATGAGTGATGGTGGAGTAAGTCACAAACAAATCAAAGAGCTCAAATATAAATGTATTCTAGGTATGAATGTGAACTATCTGAAAGTTGTTTATCCTGGTGCTCAGGCCCTTCTTAATGATAATAGTATTGCCATAACCATGGTATTCAGAGGGTGTGAATTAGGAAATATTTTTAGCATACATTATTAATCAGTGATCAGCATTCTGAGTTCACTGAACTTTGGAAAACCAAGACACTGGAAAGTGGAGAATACACAAGTGGGAGTTGATGAGGATTCAATGATTTGACAAGGCATGAGAGTCTGAATACCATTTATCATTGCAAGTCAGAAAGCTATTTGCCTCTGGAGAGTGCCTTGTTTTATAAAAGAATCTGTAGATAAAGTGACCAGATGCCACAGGAAGATGTTCAGGATTTCCAGATATGTCACATCTTTACCTCCTTCTGTATGTTGACAAAAGTTGTTAATCCAAGAGTGGTACTGGATTAATTTGTAAAGGTAAAAGTAATGCCACAGATGTGAAATGAATGCTTTCTATGCTGCTTTGGAAAAGGCTTTCCTTTTCTATCAGTACCTTTCAGTATCTTTGTTCCTCCAGAATTCACTAGTTCATCTTGACATTTTATGATTGCAGCTTTCTCTGGCAAAATCACCCTTTGCTACCTACTATCTTACTGATGATAAACACCATGATTATTCTAAATTTAGGGGTTTTGTGTGTGTGTGTGTTTGTTTTTGTTTGGTTGGTTTTTTTATTTCATTTAATTTCGTTTTAGGTGATTTACTTCAGTCCTGGGGCTGGGACATGCCTTCGGATGTAGTAGGCACACTTGTTTCCACTTGCTGTTCATACTCATTTTCACTCTTTTAATAAGCAATACTGTATTTCCAGGGTCTTGATAACTTGCTAATTGCTACAAGCCTATTCTCTCTTTTGTTAGTTGTGTGGAAGTTTTGATTTTTTTAAGTGATGCTCAATTGTCCAATCTCTATGGAGTCACTGTATATCACAGAATGGTAGAGGTTGGAGGGGATCTCTGGAGATCATTTAGTCCAACCCCAAATTTTCATCACTTCCTCATTAACAAGTGTATGTATTCCTCTCTGGTACCTGCCTATATGTTTACATGCTGCCCATTCAAAAATGTATAATTTCCTAATTCTCAGAATGAAGGAATATTTTGCTTTGATTTTTCATCTTGCTCAATTTAACCGACTAGCCTTGACCAGCTCCTTTACTTTCTGTTCTATATACCTGTACTTTTGTCTTACAGCTTTTTATCACTTAAAGCAACATTAAAACTAGAATATTGGCAACAAAACAGTTTCAAAAGAATTGCAGCCTAACCTTAATAAGGGCGTCTTTGGTATTACTTCATCACTCTTTTACTTTAATTCTTGTTCTTTCATAACTTCTTCAGAGGGTTGAGTAACTTTCCAGAGTCTCGTTCCTTGAAATAGAAAGTTGGTATCCCTGAATTCAAATGGCTTGGAATCATTGGTGCCAAGCAGCTCTGTACAGTGAAGTTATTGGTTTATTGCTAAGTACAGGATAAGAAGTGATATGTCATTTTTCTTTTCTTCTTTTACAGAATTATAGAAATATGAAGATGCTGTTTTTCCTGTGGCTTTTAATTGTTGGGTTTCATTCCAACAGTTATTGCTATGAACATAATCACCAAGGTGTAAGAAACCAAAATCAAAGAGGCCAAGAAAACCAAAACAGTGCACAGCAGACTGTAGGGAAGAGTGTTTGTCAGTTTGCATGTTGTTTCTACAAAGAGATTTCTTCTCGTGAAAATGGTGGGAATATTTTCTTCTCTCCTTTGAGCATCTCTACAGCCTTTGCAATGCTGACTCTGGGCGCCAGATCAGACACTCTGACACAGATTCTTAGGGTCCTTAGGTTTAACCCAAATGAGATTTCCGAAAATGAAATACATGAAGGTTATCGTCAACTCATGCAGATGATAAACAGAAAGAACACGGGGTTACAGCTGAATATGGGAAACGTCCTGTTTGTGCTTGACAGACTGAAGCCACAAGAAAAATTTTTAAGTGATCTCAGAAACTTCTTTGAAGGAGAAGCTTATCCTATGAACTTCAAGAGAGCTGATCAAGCCCAGATAAAGATCAATGAATATGTAGCAAGAAGAACCAACGGGAAAATCAAGGACCTCATAAATAACCTTGATCCACTTAGTGAAATTCTCCTTATTAGCTATATTTATTTTAATGGTAAGATATTCATATTATATTCTCCTACTTCATACATTATTTTCTCAGGTCAATCTTGGGCTTCTTCACCTTTCCTTGCAATGTGGTTTAGCAGACAGACATGTATCTTGTTTTGCTTTTGGTCATCGTTTACACTAAACTATAAACAAAGCTATTGGAAATTTTGTTCTGCTTGACACTGCTAATAATTCCTAGCAAAACTGATGACAAATTTCCCTCTGTCCTTTTATATTTTTTTATATAAATATTCACCTGCTGAAGATCAGGTGAAATATACTTTGAGGAAGGCCTCCCTACTCAGTAAAGCTTCTAGTCCTATACAATCTAGTGGGATTTAAGCATTTTCTTAAATGCTTTGTTGGCTATTAATTAATTTTAAATCCACTTTGGCCACTTTTGTTTAGCAAGATCAGAGTTAAATTCAAAGAATACTGTTAAAGTAAAACTTAGCATCTTACCCCAAAGAAAATATGTTTACTCAAGAGTTTTGCTGTTACAGAGTGTCTTCATATCCAAATCTAAATGTAACAGTAACTGTAGTTTTCACACTCCTGGGTTTGATTTTTTTCTTTTTCTTTTTTTTTTTTTTTTAAACTATGCCTTCACTGATAGTATGGCTGTAATCCTGATATGCTAAAGGCATAGGTTTTTAAAGCTTTTTTTTTTTTTTATTTGATTTGCAGATTCTAATATTTTCCAGTGAACAGATGGACCCACTAGTATCTAATACAAGCCTAATGAGAATAAGCTTATTCTTCTTAATTAACTTGTGCAGTCTGGTTAGATAAAGTCTAACAGATCTTCCCAGAGCTTTTCAGACTGCAGCTGTAATGAGAAGAGGAGCAAGACTGTAAGAGTCCATCAGTGGCCTGATAATAGATATTGCACCTTCTTTCAAAGCTTTTTAATTAAAACAGAGATGATGTATTAGAAATTCTGTTCTTTTAAAAGAAGTGGTATTCTTTTAAAACTGTTAACTTGGATGCTTCCACTCGCCTCCCCAATACGAGGCTTGAAGCAAAATAAATCAAAACCATATTTATATTTTGTTTTATTTTTCTTCTGTGTCTGTGCTTCTTGTGCTAATCTCTGAAGAACTTGCCATAGCTAAATGGAGCTGTTTGGAATATAGACGATTGCTGTTTCTTAACTGTCTTGCACAAATACTTGTTTGTCTCGGTGTTTTCAGGACAGGCTTTTACTTAACATCAGGTATGTCTTTCAAAACTGCAAAAAAGCTGTTGATTTTTCTGTTACTGAACAGTAGCTGAAGAAGGAACAAGCAATTTAGTGGCACAATGGGGAGAAAAGCCTGAGAAACCTTGTATTAAAGAGAACTCTGTATTACAGATAACTCTTGCATGTTCTAAAAATAAGTTTTGTTTAAAATTGGATATCTATTTTTATTACAGAAATGATTTCCCAGCTCCTCCAAGGATGGACATTCAGTTTTAGCTCTTCAATTTTAAGGGGTAGCATTAGTAGCAATAATAAGTATTTTTATCTTTAAATTGAGAGTAGGTTAATACTAATTGATGTAGAGACTGGGATTAATCTGCAGAGGATCTCTAAAGCTCAAGTACCTCTCTCTATAAGCAGTCTATACTTCCAGGCTTTTTTCCATTCTCTGTGCATTACAACCTTCCTTGCACAGTATTGGGAACTCTGCACATAGTCGTTTTCCCTTTCTTAGTAATCAATACTGGCAACTCTCCTCCCAGTGTAGTGTAAAAGTCCTTCCCTAAGGAGAAAAGTCTAGAAATATTTTTCTACTTCTCAGTCAGCAGGCATACTACTCCACTGCAGTACATCAGTCCCTTAGCATGCCCTATCCAAGCTGGTCACCACAAAGCATCATATTTTGAGGTTCATTTTTCTGCTTGAACATTGTGAAGCATTTGACAAAAGATGCTATCCCTAGATGGTGGCCTACTTAGAGAGAGTAGAGGATAGGAGTAAGAGTTCCTCTGAAACACGTGGAGGGAAAGGATAAGTGAATATCATCTCTGTCTAATCTGTGTGCTAAATCCTAATATCCTACTCAGTTTTTAACCAGCCAAAACTCTTTTTGAAATCACTGGGTGTTTTCTCTGAGTTGAGCACTAGATAAAGATTGCTTGAGTGTTTCAGGATTTGTCATTCGTGTTTCTGTCATTCGTTTTGCTTTATTTTTTTTCTTAAGCATATGAAGGCAGAAGTCCTGCCTGCTATATATTTGATGGGAGGAGAAGTCAATGTTATTGAAGAAACATAAAAGTAGCAACTTTTCCCATCTTCAGAATATTGGCAGCTGTCAATTTATGTTTTCAGAGCCAGAAACATGCACTAACTCTCATCTCAGTCTCTCCAGATATTACATAAATGCTCTTTATGTCTATTCCACAGGGGTGGAAACAGCAGATAAGTATTTCATTTGTACCAAGCTGCCTAATAATTGTTGTTCAATTAGAAATCAGAATTCAAAAGGGGTTGCATCTTGCTTCGTGGTTTTCTTGATGTCACTTATTTTAGTTAGCATTGTGGCTCTACTTTTGTCCACCAAATCTGATAAAAAACTAGTTTTGTTCTAGAAGGAAAAATTTACTACAGAACATCCTCTCTTTCTTTAAAAAACACACTAAACAACACCACCATCCCTGCCAGCCTCCTAGTTTTCTTCTTTGAATATGCTCAGCCCCTGAAATGGCTGAGGTGGATAGCTGGAATTTGACTTAGAAAATCCTTTCCACTGAGAATAAGTTTTAATGTAGATAGTTTGCTTCATTGTGACTAACTGAAGAGCCTTTGGAAATTTAATTTTGTGGACATGACAATACCAAAGGTTTCTGTTACTGGTGGTGTGTTGTTGTTTTAACCCCACAGGCTGCTAGAATTAAGTCTTTATTTGCTATCAATCAGCTAACGCAGAATATAAACCCCTTCTCTCTGTAAGTAACCCGAATCCCTTCATTTCTGTGGGCAATTCATCCCCCATGACACCCTTCATAAGTGTATTTTGGTGTGGGACTAAGGAAAGGGGAGAATCTTTCTCCTCCTGCATTCTCATTTAAAGGAGGCATCATATGAGGGCTTCATTGCCTTCATAAAACCATTGTCATGGAGGAAAAGTGCACACCAGAACACTTGGTATCTCATCTAAATGAAGGATATTGCAGCCTGCTGTAAGATTTGAGGGAGTTTTTTACATCATATTCTACATATGGTGTGATGCTATTGAACTATTTTGAGTATTCAGTAAGGTTATGTGCTCATTGCAAACAGGTTTGTCTTTGAAGCTGATCCAGTTGTACCAGTTTCTGTCATCTATGAATGTATGCTATGGTGGTATGTCCTATGGTTTCATGTCCTCAAAATATCTTATAACTGTCTCTTTTATTTCAAGCTGAATGGGAAAAACCTTTTGATCCAAAATACACTAAAAAGAACAAATTCTTTGTGAATGGAAATAAGGCTGTTGAAGTCCCAATGATGTATGGAATGGGTCTGTTCAAGCATGGCTATGATGAACAGCTGTCTTCCACTGTGGTGCAAATGGATTACAAAGGAGGTGCTTCAGCATTTTTTGTTCTGCCTGATCAAGGAAAAATGAGGAAACTGGAGAAAAGACTGTCTTGTGAACGTATGTCAAGGTGGAGGACATTAGTCTCAAAAAGGTAAAATTCTGCCATTCTTGGTTCACATGGTAGGCAAGAAGACACATCAGTTTCAGTCTGCTGGGATGTGGCATAGAATCAGGATATTATTTTTAGTCCTGTTTTAATCTACAGAAGAATTCCTCCTGACCAAAGTTGAAATCTGTCTCTCTGGTGTCCCTGTGTTTTCCCATTCAATACTGCACAAAGTGAATATTTTCACAGCTTTAAGACTTTTGCCATTTCTGCATTTTGTTTCCCATCTTTAACTCTCCATGGCCCGAGTTTTGTCTTAAGACCTATTTCACCTTTTTTTTTGCGGCCTTCTCCTATTTACAAGTAAATTCCTATCACTTCAGCCTTTTTTCTTGTCTCTTACTCCCTTTCTGCTTATTACAGTTACCAATCATTGCACATTTAATGCTGAAATAACAACTTTCATTTGGCAATAATCAATATTAGTGAAAAGATCAATTGGAAAAACTCAGTAATAAGGGTATAGAGCAGCTGACATATCACAAAGCAACTATATTCATGTTCTCTGAAGACTCAGGAAGGCAATATTGGAATAAGCTGCACTTGCTTCAAAGTAACTCTGGGCTAGAAGGCAGAAAGATTATATGCTTTCCAAAAACTTCTTTAGACTCCTTCCATTTAGTATCATGTGTGGTAGTAGCCTGTGATGGGACAAAATATGTGTACAAACATAAGCACAACTATGTGTTTTGTGACTAAAATCACTATATGACAAATACTACGGTGAATCAAGATACTTATGAATCATTTTGTCAAAGAAACACAGTTGCCTTTAAAATCAGCAAGAAATATACTAATTATAGTTGGAAGGATTCATATTCCTCTCTCTATCCTCTCCTCTGTCCCCCAGCTGGAATAACCTACCTAAAAGCCATGAACTAGAAATGTAAATCTCATAATATAAAAAGGCATCACTGTTGAAGATGAGCTTGTTTCATGCAGCTCCCCATTTTTCATTATGACAGTTCTCTCACGCAAATTGCTGATGCAAACTCCTCCTTTTCCCTCTAGTTTTCAAAGCACCCGATTGCCTTTGTTATTATTTAGAGTTCCTGGGAGATCTCAATAGATGGGTTTGATGTGTAATGCAGAAGGTTTTAAGGACTGTGGGCAAGCTGTTTGTCCTTGTTTCTCTGTCCGTGCACTGATGTTGACACAAGTTGCAGAAACATTGTGAAGAACGTTTTTTTCATTACTGTTGGCTGCCAAACAGGGGATAGTGCCAAATTATTGCCAGTACAGGCAGCTGAGATCTATTTAATAGGTGAACTGTGGAGAAAATGTCTCTTTTCTGGAAAGTGTATCCCAGTATTTCCTGCCTGGTTGCATTGTTGCTGTGTACCTATGGCTTTCCCTTTCTTGCATGTTGAAAGCAAGTGGGGGCTTGTGAATGAGTATCTTTATGTAATAGCAAGACAGACGATTTAATGATAGTTGTATCCTCAATTGAGACAGCAATCAGCACAGTCAGAAATTAGGCAGAAGTAAGAGATTAGCAACCTGTTATCAATCCACTAGCACTCTCATTTTTGGGTAGCAGCCAGACTTGGTATTAGATGCTGTGCTATGCTGGAGGTATGGGCCCCTTCCTTCCCTTCCCACTTGCCCACTGGATGACTTGTTCTTTGACCAGCTTCATTAAGTGCTCCACATCTCCCTGACCTGGTGCCCTGGACAATGGTTCTTGTTTCTCACCAGGAAACAGTACTTACTGTCACCCTTATCACTAACCTCTGTCTTATTATGCTGCTACTATCTGTAAATGATGGTTGAAAAGGAATTTTTAGATCCTTATTGAAAAAGCACAGAAGAAATGAGTCAGAAATATGGATGATTAATTTATGGAAACCAGCAAACTAGTCACTTTCAAAAAACATCGAATAAATCAGACATTAGACTTGATATAGAAAAAGAATATTGACTAGCGATATTCTGTCAGTACGCTTCTGTTTTTTATTTTGTCATCCATACAATCACCACCACATATTGTCCTGCTTCTTTGGTATAACTTGTTTTTGTTTCCTCTATACTGATTTGTACGATAAACACATAAGGCCAAGTTTTGAGTTGGTTTGTTGTTTTTTGCTCGTTTTTTTTTTTTTTTTCCTCAAAAAGTAACTAGTGAATATAGATGTGTTAAAATTTTTGTGCTTAACCTGAGAGACATATAAAGGAACCACTTAATCACAAGGTGAATCCTCTGCATCCTCAGTAATGGGGCATGACGAAGGTGCTTCCAGCAGAATGCACAAAATATTGCTAACTTCTGAAAATGTCAGACGAAGATCCTTGGAGAGGTACAGCTGTACTGTTGTGCTGCATGATCAGTGGGCTGATCTCACTGTTCGTATGTTGGCTACTGCGCACTGTGAGCCAACAGCCTATAACCCTAACCTCTCAATCAGCTTTCCAACATTGTTATAAACCTTTTCTTCTCCCCAGATTCATGTTACTACACATCTGCCATGTAAGCTAGGGAGAGCCTGTAAGCAAAATATTTTTGAGCAGAAAGTAAAACGCGTTTATGTCTTGGGAGTCTGTGTTATACTGCAATATTTGATCACAAGTTTCACCATATTCTTGCACTTCTCTTCTGGCAGCTCAGCAAATTTGTATCTTCCGAAATTCACTCTTTATGGGACATATAACCTAAAAAATATATTATATAATATGGGCATCAGGGATGTATTCACTGATAAGGCTGACCTATCTGGGATCACTGGGCAGCCCCAGCACAGAATTTCCCAGGTAAGTCATACTGCTTTTTATTTTATGGGCCTATGGTTATCCATACATACATTGCTTTCTTTAGAGCTATTCATGATGTAAAACTTGTGTAAAGAGACTTTGCTTGTCACGTGAAAGGCAGCTGTTGGCATACAGAGTATTTTCTCCATGTTACTTACGCTGTCAAGCCCACTTGAGTTGGAGAAGGTTACAAGTCTAATTTTTTTGATCTAGGTGGCCTTATTGATGTGCATGGGGCAGCCTTGTAAAACAGACATGACCAAAATCATCATCTAGTCACACTGTGGTACCCTCAGCGTGTTGTTACAGCCACAACATTGCAGCTTCTGTTTCTCTCTATCTTCTTTCGCCTGCCTGTGGGCAAATAGGGAGCTGTAGGATGTATCACTGCCTGTGTTTTATAAAGGGGGAAAGGAAAAACATTCTCTGCTTTTAAATGGTTTTGGGGAAAAGAAAATGCAGTTATTAAAAACTTTTGGCTTCAAGCCTATGAGCAATTACTCTCTTTAGTACCAGGACCAGGCAAAAGGTACACGTAAGTCAAACTTCAATAAACCTAGAGTTTAAAGCTGACAGTCAGTATAAATTGCATTATCTAACATGAAGGAAACAACTGCCCTCATGAGCTCAAGTGGAAGTTAGTGAATTAGGGTCTGTGAATGTCTTGATTTTGCAAGGTAAAACTTATATGTTTCTCTGCTCTAGCCTTCTTTTTCTGGCCCTTCTTCTTTGCTCTCATTTTTTTCCAAGACATGAAGGAGCATGGGAAACATAATTCAGGATGCTATTCATTGTGCTAATCTGCATGTTTGTTCTTCAACTGTATGAACTTTTACTAGACAGTTGAATATGATCCTGCTCTCTTAACATTTAGTCTTTATCTTTAGTTTCTTACCACTGACTTCTTCAGGCATTTTTATCTCAAGTTTTTACTTAGGTGACTGGTTGTGTACCCCCTTGACTTGTAACGTGTCTGTTTCTTTACAGGCTATTCATAAGGCTGTGGTAAATGTGGATGAGACTGGCACTGAAGCAGCAGCTGCCACAGGCATGGAAATAGTGCCTATGTCAGTTCCAGCCACCATTTCATTCAACAGACCCTTCCTAATGGTCATGACTCTGGAGAGTAATATACTCTTCATGGGAAAAATTGTGAACCCTCTGGAAAAAGATTAAGTTGATGTACATATTAGGTACGCGTTGATCACCACTGTTAAATCAAGTGTTTGACCTGATGAGTTTGGCGTGGCTACAGAGGTCTCTCCACCTCTTTACTGATGCTATTCACTGTTTTTTTTGGTTTTTTTTTTTTTTTTTTTTTTTGTAGCTGAGACTCTTCATCAATTTAAGTTGTTGTAGCTGCATGTTTATTTGGGCCCTGGTGGTTTTTTGTTTGTTTGTCTGGTTTTGTCTTTTTTTTTTTTTTTTAAGAAGGTTGCATTCAGGTGGAACTGTCTTTAGATCTGGGACAAAATAGGACTGTGTGATACTGACAGCATAGATACATCTTCTAGCAGGGAAGTTGAGGACCATGTGGGTGGAGAGGGTTGTGTAAGCTTGCTTCTTCCCTCACGACAGCCTTCTCTTTTTTTTTTTTTTTTCTGTGTTGACTGACAAAGGGGTACGAGTTACAGCACATTACTACTTGTGCCCATTTTCCTACCAACATGAAGTTTATACCTAGCATAGATCTTAACACACATAATACTGCCTTGCATAGTACCATTGTTGTCCAGTGAGTCTATGACATCCTTGCCTTTCAGCTGTTGTCCCAGCTAGGTTGCTGCAAAGGGGTCACAAAGAAGGTGTATTTTTCCCCTGCAGATATATACTGGCCTGCACACTGTTTCTGTGAGATTTTACAGTCCAGACTCATTCCAGGGCAAATGTTAGAAGGTCTGTAAATTTGGTTTAAGAAAAGGAGAGGTAGATCTGATCTCTGCAATTCAGTGCCCTGGTGCCAACCTTTGTGAATCAGATATACAGCTCAGAGCAGCCAGACTACTTTTAACCTATACCTGAATCTGAACCAAGTTCTAGAAGCCCCCAGGCAGCAGGAAGCACAGGCCATCTCCCCCTGGCACCAGTGCCTCTACCATTACTGTCTGGCCCTGGGATATTACCCATGGTAGTAAGCAGCATTCCAGTATTGTTTGTAGGATCAAACACCCTACCAGTAACACCTATACCCTATCAGAGACGCCTCCCATGTCTCTTGACATAACCCCTTCTGTTCCCAGACTGTTCAGTAGTACAACATTGGTACTTCATTTCTTATCCACTTTATGGTTAGTATAGCCAAAGTATTATAAATATCTGTTTTCACTATTAAGATACACAATACTAAAAGTCACTTTCATAATGCACGTGCTTATTTATTTTTCTTATTTACTTTATCTACTTTTTCTTGTATTTTTCACAACATCTATCACTATTTGGTTTCTTTCCTCATGTTCATGGTATATACCTGATTTCTGGTTGCAGGAGGGGTAAATTATTGACTAAAATGGGTTAGTCTGTTAAGAGATATTAAGCATTAACACCAGTGTTTGTATAGCCTTGAAATATGCAGACGAATGTACTACAGTAGAAGAGCAACAATGAATAAACGTGACAGTAAAAAGTTTCTAACTTTGCTATTTATTTTTGTAATTCAGAGTTAAGACTTAAGTATTGGTCAAGCAGGGGTTTTGGACCAATGTCAACAAACAGGTACTAATATACTGCTCATATACATTAAATCAGCACGATAATGCCAATAAGGAGCTTCATAAAGCTCAATGCCTTTGGCCTGAGCAATAAATCCTATTCAGCTCATAGCACATTATCTCTGTTAGGAGGAGAACTTATTGGGTAGGTTGGTCATTTCTTTGATGCAGAGATGTTAATTTCAAAGGCTACAGACAGTGTGCTGCGTCTACTCTATCAAGTGTATAGCTTCATGTGTGCCTCTCATTTCCCTTCTGAAAAACTCTCTTGACTCACTCTAATAGTTATATTACCAGTCTTGGCCTGTGTTTTGTGGTTCCTGTTATTCCATAAAGAAAATATAGGCCATCAAGATCATACTTTTTTTTTTTTTTTAAATAGTAAAATGAAAATAGTAAATGAAACTTAAATGGGAAAATTTCTTAGAAGTTATTAGTTATTTGCAGAAGAATCAACTTCAAAATTAAAATCACAGTGCAGAAAAACTCATCTGCATGGCATTCAAATGGAGCAATAAGGAAGAAGAAATTTAGTATTTCTCAGTCTGGAAAATAGATGTACTCAATTTCATTTCATTTGTCTTTGATAACATCACTGGATCTGCATCAAACTTTGACAGAGGGTTCTTTTCTACAGATTGTTACAGATCTTTGTAATTTATATTACTCTAAAAGCACTGCAGGTCACAAAGAGTTTACTGACATAAGCGTATCTTGCAGCTTGCTTCCCTCAAACATAAAAAAACCCTAACTTAAAAAGTAAAAAAGGCACCGCAAAGTAAATTAGAATTATGAGTAAAAATGTCGGAAAATGTAGATCATGGTCAAGCCAGGGAATGCCCCCTGCCGAAAAGAACAGCCCCGCAACATTAAATCTAAAACTACTATAAGAAAGGACAAGGACAACTTTGAGAAAAAAAAAATATGCAGAAGTCGTAGCATACCATGATACATTCTTTTTCAAAGACATCAGAAACCTGTTAGCAAGCCTGATGAACAAGCAGCAGATGTTAAAAGGGGAAAAAAGTGCTCAGGAGGGATACTGGCAAAACAGAAAAGCTCAGTCCATTGTACATGTACTTCTTTGCAAGTTTCTGTTGAGCCTGAGCAAATATTTCAATTTGAACAAACAACAAAAGAGTTTTTAGAAAAAAGAAATCAAAGAGCAAGTACCAACAAATTGTGAGGATTGTTTATGCATACTGCATAAAAGAGCTTCTACCTGTCTCAAGAAGAAAAATGTAAAGTTTTTGACTGTGATGCATCAGTTAGATTTATCATTGTACCAAACCAATAGGCAGTGACAAAGGCCACATAGGTTTTTATAAAAGTTGCAAGTGAGCATGCAGTGAATTGCAGAACAGCTAGTCCAATTTTGGTATTTTGGAAACTGTAGAATTTGGAGTTGTAAGGATAAGTACGACAAAAAATATTGAAGAACTAACGAGTTTTGTAGAATCATAGAATTATTTAAGTTAGAAAAGACCTTTAAGATCACCGAGTCCAACTGTTAACCTAGCACTGCCAAGTCCACCACTAACCCATGCCCATCAGCCCTGCATCTACAGGGCTTTTACATACCTCTAGGCATGGGGACTCCACCATTTCCATGGGCAGCCTGTTCCAAGGCTTGACAGCCCTTCTCGTGAAGAAATTTTTTGTAATGCCCAGCCTACAACTCTCCTGGTGCAACTGCCGGCCTTTTCCTCTTGACCTATTGCTTGTTACTTGGGAGAAGAGACCGGCACCCAACTCTCTACAACTTCCTTTCAGCTAGTTGTAGAGAGCAACAAGGTCTCACCTGAGCCTCCTTTTCTGCTGGCTGAACAATCCCAGTTCCCTCAGACACTCCTCATCAGACTTGTGCTCTAGACCCTTCAGCGGATTCATTGCTCTTCTTTGGACATGCTCCAGCAACTCCATGTCTTTCTTGTAGCAAGGAGCTCAAAACTGAATGCAGGATGAGATGCAGCCCCACCTGGGCTGAGTACAGGGAACAATGACTTCCCCAGCCCTGCTGGCCACACGATTTCTGATACAAGCCAGGACGCTGTTGGCCCTCTTAGTGAGAGTGCTGTCAACCTCCTCATCTAGATAGTTGATAAAGATATTAATCAGAACTCGCCCCAGTACTGAGCCCAAGGGAACATCACTTGTGATGGGCTGCCAGCTGGATTTGACTCCATTCACCATGGCTCTTTGGGGCCAGCCAGCCAGGCAGCCAGATTTGTACCCAGCAAAGACTATGCCTTTCCAAGCCCTGACCTGCCCTTTTCTGCAGGAGAGTGCTGTGGGAAACAGTGTGAAGGGCTTTACTAAAGTCCAGGTAGAAGATATCCAAAGCCTTTCCCTCATCCACTACGCAGGTCACTTTGACATAGGAGGAAGTTAGGTTAGTCAAGCAGGACATGCCTTTCTCAAACCCATGCTGACTGGGCCTGATCGCCTGCTTGTCCTTCTACGTGTGCTGTGTGCTGGCACTCCAGATGATCTGCTTCATAACTTTCCCAGGCACTGAGGTCAGACTGGCAGGCTTATAGTTCCCCAGATCCTCCTTCTGGCCCTTCTTGTAAATGGGCATCACATTCGCTGGCTTCCAGGCAACTGAGACCTCTCCTGTTAGGCAGGATGGCTCGGCTGAGAAACGATGGAGAGTGGCTTGGTGAGAACTTATGCCAGCACCTTCAGTGCCCTTGTCTGGATACCATCCATGCCCATAGAATTGTGGGTGTCTTAGTGATGCAGCAGGTTGTTAACCATTTCTTCTCGGATTATGGGGTCTTCATTCTGCTCCTCATTCCCATCTTCCAGCTCAGGGGGCTAGGTACCCAGAGAACAACTGGTCTTACTATTAAAAACTGAGGCAAAGAAGACATTCCATACCTCAGCCTTTTCCTCATCCTTTGTCACTATATTTCCCCCTGCATCCAATAAAGAATACAGATTCTCCTAATCCCTCCTTTTGGTTGCTAACATACTTATAGAAACATTTTTTATTATCTTTTACCACAGCAGTCAGAATCCTTTATCAAAGGATTCTTTGAAAGAATTGATATATGTGTGGATTACAGTGATTTGATTGATATATGTTACCTAATTCAGAAAAAAGATGATCCCTCAATGAAGGATCTCAAAAAACCCCTAAACTGGTAGGGAGGGAACACCCCTTATATGGAATAAATTTAGGCATGTGTTGTTCAGAGAAAGAGGTCATGTAGGACTTCAGTGAATTGTGAGGTAACAAATTTCTCTGGTGGGCACACCTTCTTTATGGGTAAGGACCTCACAGTACTCAATGACTGGCTGATAAAATGTCAGAGGAAAATCACTGCCAATAAATACAAAACAAAGAATACAAGGAAAGAAGTCCCTGTTCTATATATGACATGGTGGTCTCAAGTTGGCTATTGCCACTTGGGATAGAGATTTTGAAGAGATGCTGGCCAGGTCACTGAATATGTCATCTCC